GTTGAGCGCTTTCTTGAGCGCTCTTCGGAGACCACCTCCATAACTTCGCTCAGCGAATCGTTCTGTAGATTTTGAAAGCAGATTTGAAATCAGCATCAAAAAATACGTCTAGCAGTGTAGGTCTCATCACAAATGGCCACTTCGACTTGGGATCCTTCCCTTGTTAGCAAAATGCATATAATGACGTTGGTGAAGGAATGCTTGAGCTGTAACATCTTCAAATGGGCAGGAGAGTACTTCGCTCAAGTCAGAGGCCTTGCTATGGGACAACGGCTAGCACCGGTTCTTGCTGTATGCTTTATGAGAAGAATTGAAGAGCCGCTGCTAGAACGGCATCCTTTGATGTACTGCAGGTATATTGATGACTGCTTCATCATAACGTCAACTCAGTTCGAAATGAACGAGTGTTTTCGAATCATGAATGAGCAGTCACAGTACATTAAACTTACTCGAGATGTACCACGTGACGGAAGGCTCCCTTATCTCAACACCCAAGTCAAAGTGTCCAGTGGTGTTGTTAGCGTGAAGTGGTACCGTAAAACTAGTTCTAAGAATATTTTACCTCACGCTACATCAGCTCATCCACAAGCCGTCAAATGTACAGTCGTTAACAACATGTTGAAGACAACAACAAGTGTCTGCACGGGCGAGTCTGAACGTCACGAATCGCGACGTTTAGCTTGTGAGATAGCTGCTGTGAACGGTTATACGGTGTCACAAGTTCGTGGAAAATGTCATATTAGCAGGAAAAATGCTACGCGCCCTAGTATATTACCATTGTGTCTTCCTTCTATCTCTGATAAAGTCAGCACCGAAATACAGCGGAGCATTTTAAGAGCTGGACTGCAAGATGTTGTCCAATCAGTAATCATTTCTAATAACAACATCAAGTAGTTGTTAGTTCGAAACCGGCTCTACGATAAGCGGTGCATAACCAGTGATTGTACCATATGTCCGTACGGGAAAACAGGTGATTGATAGGCGTAATTTATGATAGGTGATAGGCGTAATTGATGGGCGTAATTTACCAGATAGAGTACCGGGCATGTGCATCAACATACATCGGAGAAGAGTGTCTGTCCATAACTAATGGTTTTTTGCCATATATACCGTACTGCGAGTTGTAACTCAGTAGCAGAATAACGAGATCTTCCTTATCACAAGTATAAGGGAGACAGCAATTAGTCTCATTCGCTACTGACAGTCGCCTGTGGAACTTTGGTGAGTCGCTAGCAAAATACGGGTTTCGAGTAAATCTTCAGTTTGCAATAGTGGTCAAGACGCTTATTGGATGACGCGTAAACCACTTTGAATTACGTTTAGGCCTCTGAAGACGACGATTGCGTCGAAACGTTAGGCCGTTCCACCAAATAAACTGTTCCACCTAAAAACCTCGTGTGGCACAACATCATAAATATCACAAATAACAGCTATGCCGAGGTTAAACCATAAGAGAAGTTGGAGACAATGGATGTTGCCTTCCATGAATTTTTCGATACTCCCTCTAAAAAAGAACCCAATCTGATCTGACAACTTGCAACTTACTATGCACCCATTTAAAAAAAAAAACTCGAAAAAAAACTAAAAAAACCGTAGCATTCTTCAACGCATTGACCACCGCGCCTTTAAGCATGTCTGACGTGTAGGACCGAGAGCGTTTTTCACGGGGCTGTTGCTGTGGCCCGCCGGCGGGCCACACGATCCCAGGAGCAAACTAATTTTCACGCACCAATTCTTTGGGATGAAGTTTCATTAAGATGTCACAGAAGAAGTGATAAGTCATCCGCAAAGATTCCTGCTGCATTGTGAATGACTCATCACTTCTTCTGTAACGTTTTGATGGAACTGTTTCTCAAAGAGTGGATGCGTATAACAACAGCCACTGTCACTTTGTTGGACTCTACAGGAAATAGAGAACTGCTCAACTGATCTCTGAATCTTCGTGGCTTGTGGGATGAAGATTCGACGAAACATCATAGATCTTTGTCTAGACACGAGTGATGTATTTTGTCCTTGAATCTTTGATGGATTGGTTAGAAGGGGATATATCTTGTAAGACTCTAGCATCACTTAACAAAAACAAATTACATATTGGAATGAAAGTCCGAAAGAGAGCCGGACATGATGCACTGGTTGTTACATGGCAAATCCAAAAAAAAGGTCCAGCTTCTAAAGCATGCCAAAAGGTTCGAAATGCTCCGAGTGGCACAAAAATTTTGTTTCGAGTGTTTCCCCAATATGTTGCCCCTAGTATAACTTAATAACCAGCTGATAACGCTTGACTTTGCTCCTTTTAATACTGTCCTGATGAACTTTTTTCTCCCATAACTTTAGTCGGAAGTGGTTCTTGGACCGCAACGTTTCATGATTCTCTAGAAGGCTGTGAGCCTAGCTGATACTCGAAAGCGTCAGAAATATAAAAAGGTTCAATAATTAATAACATTATCGTGGCCCGCCAGCGTTCCACGCGGTCGCTAATGCATTGAAACTACTCAACCTTGCTAAGATCAGTGATCTGGTAGTCAAACAGGTAACTGGGACTACACTACCTTCAGTGAATATTGTAGCTGGTTAACCTCAAATGTATCTTCATATTGTGTATATAACATTTGATAAATATAGTGCAAGAAAGTCAAAACCAAGTGTTCATACCACTGACCCGGTTAACCATAGAGACTACTGGCCTCCGAATCGTAGGATACATCGCTGTGACGAGACTTGAACTGGCAGGCTCTCCAGCTGGTGGTATGGCATTTGAGAAAACTGTTGGAACCTGAGTTTGCTAATTTGAACATACGTAAAAAATCACGTGAACGACTCTGTACAAATCTTATGACACTACAAGTAACGCTTTCAGGCACAGCAACTGTTCCCAACGAAAATAAACGTTAAAGGATAAGAAAAAGAGTAATTCAAGTAGATGTACCAGCTCAGCTCGATAAGGAGAAACAGCTGATTTTTTTGGTGGATCGGCCTTGAACAGCGATTCGACGGTGACCTTTTCCCTCTTACGCCTGTCGTCTTTTCTATCATCGTCGATCCTCTTTTTCACAGACGCTCCTTCCCCTACGTCTTCCTCCTCGATTCGCTCTTCGAAGTTTTTAGAATATAGAGGTGGTTGATAACTGCAAATAACTATTGAAGCTTCACGTCAGCAAAGCCTGCCCCGCCATCATTGGATTTCCATCGGAACAATGGGGTTGGAAACTATTCCATCGGAGAAGTAACCTCACAACTTCAATAAAACTGACAAAAAAAAACAAGAACCCTAAATAACGTTTCTGTGGAAGAAGCGATGTAGAAATGAATGAGTTTCGGAAAAAAGAGTTTGGCAACTTTTGATGGGGAAGAGTCAGAAGAAGTAATAATCGTCGAACCGCACCAAAAAAAAAAAAATTCGACTTTCCATAGCAAAACTGAGGGCTTCTGACTACATAGACAAAAGAAAACTATCGTACTAATAGACCAATGACATTAACACGTTGACGACAATGTCGCGCAATGGTGCGCGACATCCAGTCTGTCTCATGGGACGATGTCGCGCAATGCTGCGCGACGGTGCATTCTTCAATTAAAGTGTGTGTGCTGGTTCCGTTTTTTGTGCAGATTTTCAATTTGGGCTTATAAGTGTCTAAAATAGCATCGGCCACCTATTATATAATATTAATTCCAAAATCAATAATACAATTACAAGACAGGATCAAGCGCAGGAGCCATATCGTCGCCGTTTAAACCACCTGCAGCATCATCGTCGCTGTCGAGCAGCCAGTGGTCAAAACTTTCGTTGAAGTCTTCCATTTCAATATCCAGGACACTCATGATGACAAAAATAGTCGCAAGGATAATAATACTCTCAGAGGTCCTAATTATATACCCCTAATTCAAATTTATCACCGCCAAATTTGAAATTTCCCGAGTAATCAAATCTTAGGCAAAATTTGAATACTGCTGAAATAACCGCGGATTTCAAATGTATTTGACTGTAATCACTCATTTTTTAGAGGAATAACAAATTTCCGAGAAAGAAACTGTCTCGTCCCACGGGACAGACACGAAAAATTCGGCTCGTCGTCAACGTGTTAATATCACCTTATTCATCATATTAATCTAATCCTTCGCCGCAAATTAGGAAACGCAAACGGTTTTATGAAGTCAGATATTTCGAAGTATTTTCGACTTGAACTTACTGTTTCATCTGCGCGCGAAGGCCCTCGGCTGAGACCCTGAAAATGATGCCACTATCATATCGTAATGCTAATAGACAGTTACTTGAAGGAACTTGAATCTACATTATGATGTTATTTACTCTTTTTACGAATACCTTTTTTCCGAAGCAGAGGCAATATCGAATATAGACTTGAAATTTCAACATGTCAAGAACCTCTGTCAATACCTTCAGTATGACTTGCAGAAATTTTCTACCGACCGTTGATTTGTTCATTCCATTAAGCATAGAGAGGTAGAGGAGCGCTAAGGACGTAGTAGGGGATTGGACCGCTTGTGAAGTCATATGCCGGGGCCCCGAAAATCAGTTTCTTTTCACAACAATAAATTTTGTCCAAAGATTCCATCACAACGCCGAAATAAATTCATGATAACTCTGTTTCGGAAGAAAATTACCCCTTTCAACTCCACAACCGGAAAGTGCTCTGAAATCACAGTCCCTAACATTTGGATGTCCGAGAAGAGCTTCTCTGCTGGTCTGAAGCGCTTAAAGCCGAACCGGGTGAGCTACAGATGAAGGGTGTTCCCCTTTCCGGGTCTTTATGGATGACGATTTGCCCAGAAAAGTGGCCTATTCACTGTAGCAAACACGTACGCCTGATAAGTTTGTAGTATTATCGTAATTACGTCACTGCAATATAAGCACCCTACCTTAGTGGTGTGTTGTCAAGATAAGCAAAGTAAAAACTAAAGGTTTTTGAAACATCAAAGTGGGATGTATTCCACGCCGAGTTCATTCGGAAAAGTTCAGTTTTACACATGCATGACTATACTTCTTACCTTGTATTGAATGACATTCGAGCAAACTCCATTTCTCCCCGTAAGATACCACCCGATCGCGGCTTCCTCTGTTGCGGAGACGTGGACGTGCCGGGTTGTGCTTCGCCGTCATCCTAGAGGGGTTTACCTCATTAAAATCTCGATGCACTGCCACTTGAGGAAAATCGCGGTGAATGTAATATTCGTTGACATATTAATGAACTCTCTTAACTTTCATAAACGTCGATTTTAGCTGCCTATATCAATAGTGAACAAATTAAAATTCAATCTGACTGGATGGAACTGTGAAAAACAAATTGAAGAGGCATGGTCATTTCTAGGAACACGCCAGCAAGTTACTTGAGCTCATTCGCTGTGCGGCACAATTGAAACGACAGCACTCGTTCCAAATTTGTCTTAAAAAGTAGCAGGTTCTACGAAAAACGGAGCAGTTTTTGAAAACTTCACTCAAACTGTCTGCAGCATGTGAAGACGTTAGGTAATGGATTATGCGAGAGGTTTTTATGGTAATCCTGACTCAAACATTCCCTTCAATGAACAGCGACCGAAACCAAGCTAACACCTTTTATTTGATACCACCGCGTGGCAACTCCCTCACATCTCTATCCTGTTGCTCACGCTCACGTTCGCCTATACTTGATGGAATGCTGACGTCCGCAAGAGGGTTGGTCATCAATACATTGAAGTGGGCTGGTACGTTCGCTTTTATGGCCGTCGACGATTTTTCGTACTGTAAAAAATGTGCACTCCGAAACAAAATTACGATGATGAAAAATAGTTGTGTTCACTTGATCGCTACTCGAATAATCGGTCGTGTCCTCGTTATTACTTTCCGGTTCGGTCTTCGCTCCATCATCCTTAAACCGTCGTTCCCTCGAGTCCTTCGGTGGCAATGAGCCAGCCCTGAGATCCGCTAACGTCATAACCTTAAATTAGTCATAATACTAAAACCAGTCATTAAAGATGTGAAAGCCTTTGCGGCAAGCTTTCACAATTCCGTACGAGAAACATCGTCCACTAATGCATTCAGCTTAGACAATTCGGTCCTCACCTGGTAAGGTAGATTTTCCTGTCTATGTTGTGTACCAGCAGGCAGACGAGCATCGTCCTCCTCGTGAAAGGATGTGTACGCAGGAAGGCAACTAACAGGCGTCGACGACGTTTGAGGACCACCACCAATCGGTGACTATGGTCGAAGATCATAATACAGACTATGAAAGTGGATTGAGTGCAATGATTAGCAGATACCTGTACGCTCTGCTGGATTTCGTTCGTAATCTTTGTTTCGAGTTGCTGTAACCGTTGCACTAAGCACTGGACCTGTTCAAGCAATTCTCGATTTGCGTTAAGTAATTGATGTGTTCGAGACTGGAAAGTTAATCAAACAATATTCAGAGAGTGAACAATCACGAGATTTTACTCGACACACTTGAGCCTCTATCCTAGCTGTAGTTTCACTCGTCAGTTGATCCCTGAGGAGCTGTACTTGGCATCCAGCAACCTGCGCTGACTGCTGAGCTTGATCTAGTTGAGAGCGTATCAACTGCTGATTGTACTGAATCAGTAAAAGTGAGCCAAGTCACATACAGAAGTCACTTTCAAATAACAAAACCAGCCTGATCTAGTGATCGTGTAAGAGTTGCTGCACTTTCAGGACTATTCACATCTACAGGTGGAATGTTCAAGTGTAATGTTGCATATGGTGAAACCAAGACAGGCGAGGAAAGCCCATAGGGCATTTGTGCTGAACTCGAGACTAATTGTTGCACCTGAAAGCAACTTAAATTACCATTCATTTTCTCCAGTCTTGCAGACTCGATCAAGTTAGAACAATCAGCAATGCGTTACCGGGTAATACAATGAGTGGCCCTCCAACGAATTAGAAGGCGGTACGGCAGGAAACGAAGGGATTGCACCGATTGGCCCCGCACTCCAAGTTCGAGCATGGGGTAGTGTCGATGAGGAAGTGTAGGCGGAGATATCCTGAAACCATTTATCAAACCTCGATATGGTTCGAGTCGAAGCGAACCTGAATCATCTCACTTTTTGCACTTGCTGTTGCTCTTGTTGGTATTGCGGAGCGCTCTCCGACACAGATGATAGTGGAAAGCCTGGACAGGTCTCTGCTGGAAACGATGTGCTCGATGGTACAAACTTAACTGGAATCGGTATACCAGTTGACTGTCGGGATGACGGCATTGCTGTTGCTGTCTTGCTGGAAATGTAATGTCTTCTATAAGAGCATTGGGGCCTGTTCCGCCGTTATATTTGCTACAAAGGAAAAATGGTAAATCGAGTTGACGTCTTTAGGATTTGAGGCGGAATGGAGGTAAGACATTTCTAGGTAACGTTGTTACCCGACTTATTGATGATGGATTGAGTCCCAGCCAACGATGCATGCCATTTTTCCGGGGTAGACCTAATTGTACTAGACTTCCCTGGGGGGACAGAAGCACTAGTTCGTCGTCGGCTGGTTAATAAAGTACATCGTTTGATGCTTCTCACTGCTTTACCGTACAGGTTAGGTTATAGGTTTCAAGAAGACCGAACATGGAAGGTCATCGTTTATTTGTAAACCAAAGACATTACAAAGTGAACGTATTCCGGATCTGCATTAAGCCAACTGACAAATTTAAGTGTATACACCGGACAGAGTTCGTTAATATTCTATCATCAAAGTTTAGATTTTTCTAGACGGTTGTGTTCTGATTGTCTGCTGTTGAATGTTCTCTGGCAGACTTCTTTCACGCCAAATTTTTCACTCTGTTCTTACTCAACATCAGTCGACACTGGTTTGCATGATATTCTAGGCCGAATGCCAAGTTTTATTCGCCTGCGCACCGCTTGGTATCACAGTTTTCGTACCTCCCCTGTCACATCGTGCGGAAATAGATATGAACCTATTTTTAGCCCACAGACGACTTCCGCAATACGATCTTTGTGAATAGAACGAATGTTACGAGAAAGGTATGTCAGTAGAGCTCAACATCAATCATACAATCAACAGATCAGCAAACGGAGAATAGAAAATCTAAAAAGTTCAGCTAGTAACAGGACTCACGCTTTCGTGGGTTGCGCTTGAGCTAATTGTTGGTGCGATGACTGTTGCTGTTTTAGTTGTTGTAGTTGCTGCTGTTGCGCAGACTGTTGTGAAGTTAGCTGCTGAAGAAGTGGATTGTTCGGATTGACTGACGTTGACGTCTCCGGCTTCACTGTTTGATCGACGCCACCCTGTACCGTCGTGTCAATGGCTGTGCCAACCGACGAACTTGCTGACGATGCTTTTCGCGGTTGAAACTGAAACGAAGTTCGTTATTTTCATCGGCTGCTTGAAGCCATATAGTGGTCGATTCGATCTCAGTCATTGCAAGAATCACGCAAACAAACATTCGAGGCTACCCTAATGTCTTGCTCTCGATCCATGGCTTTTCATATACGGTTCTGGGAGTTGTGTAAAGTTCTCCTTGCTGCAACACGCTCCTATTACAGCAATTCTAATGTGTCTCACGGATTCGTTCGCCTTTTCTGGTGCGATTATATCAGGTTGATGCATAAATATTGCGAAATATTCAGCAGATTTTACTTTAAGAAACGATAGAAATATCTAGCAAAGACATTCAAATAATTGCTCCGGAACATAGTCACCATCTACGTCAAACACTGCTTTCCATTTGCTAGGCGGTCGGTTTCCACAGGCGAAGAGGTTTCGATTCTTGGAGGCGATCACGCCTTGACGTTGGCCATCAAGCCATCCACTTCGTCGAAAGTTGTGTTCGTTAACCAATTTTTCAAAGGGCGATTGACGTGATAATCCAGAGGAGTTTTTGCTGGTGAATAGGACGACCATAGGAGCAGACTCCATTTTTTATTCGGCTTTGGCTGACTGTTCCATTGCCGAGAAGTTCGTTGAGATCACGTTATGAGTATGCCGCCTTCCAACATTTCTCGAAGTAACAGCGCATGATGTGGCAAATGTGAAGATGACTTTCTATACATATTTCTGTTAGGCAAAGCGAGATGATTATTTCTGCAAAAGTACCGAATCGAAACGTTTAATTTTATAGAGTGAAAAGAAGCCACGAAAAAATCCGCAATAATTATGCATCAACCTAATATAAACAAATGCCTCTTCTTGCTGGCCGACAATGAAATCCAAGTCAGTGTGGTGCGAAAGTTTGGTTTTTTCCGCAATAAAAGCCAGAGAAGGAGAATCTAAGCAAGTTGAAAGCTACGACAGACGCTCCACTTTAATAGGAAACAAATGTTTTGTATGAATTGCAGCATGGGCTTGTGATAGGGAATCGATTAGAAAAGCGTTCAAGGAAATGATGAAACCAACTCCCCGGATAGTCAGTCGCACGAAATGCTCTATTATATATGAAGGAATGCAACACAAAAGTTGAAAAATAGATACGATCAAAATCGATACCGCCCCTGTTTCTATCCGAACGTAGGAAATATGGGTGAGAAATGTTTAAATTTCATTGAGTCACTTTATATATCTGCAAAAAGGATATATTCAGCTGTATACGTGCTCCAGCTAGAAGCTCTTGGGATGAATGTTTTCGATTGAGGTACATAATAACTTGAGGCAAACGGAAATGCCCGATAACAGACCGACAATGAGCAGGACCGCAGTCCACCACAGTCGCCATGTGCTGGATGTGCGTGGCGGCAGCGGTCGGACTGCGGCCCTGCTCAATTTCAGCCTTTTTTTTTTGTCACTCACTCCACACTATGATGCGTATGATGTGCATGACAACTCAAGCGAATTCAATAGGTAAGGATGGTATCTTTTTGGATAGCAGGCATTGAGGAATGACTCGTATGTAGAAAACGAATTATTACACGTTTGAATAAAAATGGCAGGGATAACAACAATACCCAACTTAATTCGGAAGATGAAGGATGACTCTCAAACTGTGATGAAAAATACCTTGCAAAGATACATTTGAAAATAAATCACTCGCGGACATGCAAAAGCAGTTTTGGGTCTTTTTCTCTCAGATGAATGAAATGAAAATTCCATCGAGCAACGCATGCCTGAGGTCATAACGATTCCGTTTGCAGGTCGGCAACACCGAATGCGTTTTCTTTGCGCGAATTTTTAGATTGAGCAAAGTTTTGGACTTTGTTTTGCAAAGTGGTGCACCTAGAAGGGACATCGTGTTTCAACCCAAGTGTGCTGCGTGACGAACCAACTTAAAGACAGCAGAGAAGTAGACTACTTCCGAGGAAGGTTTTGCTGTTTTTGGTGGGATCCTCAGGGAATGCTCTACTTTGAATAACTTCCTGGGGGACTCACCGTGACCGCCGAGATATACGTTTCTCAGCTACAAAGTTTGACCGAGGTTATTCAAAAAAAAAGCGTCCGCAGCGAGGGAACGTTTTTCTTCTTCACGACAGCGCTCGACCGCATGTTGAGAAACTGTCCCGTCAGAAAATTGCCGAACCTTGATGGGAAGTGGTGCCTTATTCTGATTATTCGCCAGATCTTGCTCCGTCCAGTTACCGTTTGTTTCTTGCTCTGGAACATCATGTTCGCGATAGAAAACTTGAGGACTCATAACTGAGGTTTCCAGTTTTTTCGAATCGCGCCGCCGCAGTCCTGGGCATCATGGATCGAAAAACTGGCGCATCGTTGAACAACTGTTGCAGATCACGATGGAGACTATATTACTTGAATCCTCTTTTGATGAAAATAAGAGTTTTGAAATAATGATGAAAAATCGGTTAAACCGTTTTACTCAACCAATAAAATTTTGTTAGGAAATCTACTGTAGACCAAACTGTGAGCGAATTAGAACCAGCGAAATCCTTTGGGCGCCAGGATTGATTTGAGAAGCCTACAAATTAGCCCGATGAAAAGTCTAATTCTCAGGCTACAAAAGTCTCGTGAATTTGCTAGGCTGATAACGAAGTCGAACTTTTGACAAGTCTGACGCTGTCAAATGTCGGCATTGCTAATCACATGCGTTGAGTCATTCCCACTTCTTAATATTATTCTTTTTCATGACTTACGAAGGTGGTTAGGCTATCAGAACTAAGAAATGATAATAGACATACTAATTTCGGAAACTCTTGCCAGCACATGTGCGCTTACTCAGTCATATTCCAATCTTCTTTCGTTTCTGTTTTGGAATTTTTGAGTAAGATATTCGTCGCTCCGAATCTGCAGCAGAAATGTTTGAGCTAGAAAATCATAAAAAAATATTTGGCGTGATTGTGGCGTATCCTTAAATTTAGATATGTGAGGTGAGGTCTCTCATGGTCTTAGCACCTTGCAGTGTATGTAAATGTTATTGCTGTGACTACTAGCAATTAACTAGAAGTCTAATTTTTGTAGGATGTGGAAGCAATTAATTACATATGATTGTACACCGACGAAGTTTAAAATTCCAAGATTTCGAATCCTGATGAATCCTATCTTTCAAAAGTGACATACATAAATTTCGAAGTTTCACAGCGTTAACTGAATACAATACAATTGAGCGCTGTAAACAAAGATGAAGGTCACAAAATTTTCGAGGTTTGCATTATCAATTGAACTAATTCTGTTCGAATATTACAATCACCCCACTGGATATGACCACCATCGCATCTTCATGCATGGTGCTTTTTGGGAGTCATTCAGTGATTACAAACCAATCGCAGTGGATTAGTTGCATATTAATTGGGGTGAGCGCATCCGAACGTTTAAAACAACATTTCACTGAGAACGCACGATAACTCCTGTGCGCGGCAATCTTAGCACACACAATGGGATGAGTTAGTGACATCAAGCACGTTTTCCTGACCGATTATTTCGTACCCTATGCGAGCGACCTCAATCGTTTGAAATATTCTATTGGAATCAAGATCTCATTGAAATTACGATCGTCAATCGAGTGCTCTTGCATGAGAAAAGAACATCAGTTACTTATTACCGTATCGACGGAATTGATTTGCAGCAAAATTCAAGATCAGGATCTCCTCCCCCTCCCCGTTCGCTATTCGATGAATTTAAGAATCCTACTAAGAACTAAGGAAAAATAAGGACAATCACAGAAGACAATAGCACTGTGTAAAATCACCAACCAAGGACATCCGCCGTCCATACAAGGGACCTCCAGTAGAAGGCTCGGCGGGACTTTGGCTCCTACTGCTCTCCTCAGCAGCTCCTCGCTCTTCAATGACGTCCAAAGGAATACCCGTATCGTCCTCGCTAGCGAGAGAAGCTAAACCAGCAATATGCCTTAAACGGCAATTACGGTGACACTTGAAAGTGTATCTGTTTCTAGCCACATGTTTCAAAATATTTTCGTTACCTTTGCTCTTGGCTGCTTCATCTTCGTGCTTCTCCAACATTTGCTCCTGTGCCACTTTGTGACATACCTCAAACGCTTGTCCTATCGTACGGACCACCCGCATTGCTTGGCTCTAAACGAGTAGATCTTGACATCTAGCGAAATGCAACCACCAATCACCCTTCCCCTCACGGCGGGAGCTCTTCTGGCTACAATCATTGTCCACTTGTATAGTAACCGAAACCATCCGCGCTTCCATTGAGGGGTCACGTTTTACATTACAAGCTGCTTCACACTGTTCATATCTATATCGACTTAGCTCTTCTAGAAGATATAGAGGCCTTGGTGTAATGAATAGAGGACAAATGTAAATAGCTGTAACTGAAAAGAGTTGAATGGAACAGGAAAGCTACACAATGCTTAACATAGAGCGGTTTCCTGAGACGTTCTGGAGGCTAAGTTTAAGATATAATTACTCACATCATTTAGAAAACACCAGAAAGTATAGAGTACTCCTTCGCATATTACTTTAAACCTAATAACCCTGATTAAGCGAGAAAAGGAGCGATTGGAACTAATAAAATGTACGCAAATGCACAACAGTTCAGAGGCAAAAGAAATAAAGCTTGATTGGCAGGACAACAAGAGGGATTAGGTCAGTAAAATGAAAGAGCTTCCAGTTTCCATCAATTATGAATCCCACGCACACCGACGAATTCACCTGCACCTGCAAGAACGCCACGATTGTGTGTGCAATAGAACGTAACAGGAGATTAATGCAGAGGCGTTCAATTTGGTTTTTGAAAAACAAAACTTTTATCAAGGTCTAGAACTCAATTATAGATGAAGAAAGAAGGCTAAGACGAAATTTCCTACCACAACATATTAGGGAATAGTAACTAATGCGATACTTCAATCTCGTTTGAGCTGAATTCTTGGTATCATTGTGTACCTCAAGCACTGGGTCGTCGTCACGGCTACTTTTTTGCTGTTCGGGCGACCATGTGACGAATTTCGTTTTGATTGGCTTCCGACCTGGTTTTGCCATGAGTCTAAGGTAGTAAAAGCGTTTCTCTTCGCTCATATCCTCGTCTTCGTCCGGATCAAATCTGATCATGGTCGTTGGTGTGTCGTGGCGGCAATCGCTTCATACAGCACCAAAAATACTCATTACGTGGTCAGCCGACGACGAGTGAGCACAGGCGCGCTCTTTGAGTAGACAGCGGCCAATGTACTACTGATGCTTCACGAATAACAGTACCAACGCGAATGTGGTGGTGATGTCGATGGCAACGGCTACTCGGTTGATGACTAATCGATACCGCTAAGCGATCGATGATGGATTCAAATGCGGAATCGCAGTAATTGTTGGCAATCAAGGGAAGCTCGAGTGTTGGCGCATGTAGTATAGGAGGGTGTCGGCGGAAGATGTCTCTCTATAACGGCAGCTGACGGCAGGGACGCAGACATGCGAACCAACCGACTCTGCAACATGATGCTCGGGGAGGTGGCAGAGGTTCAAGACGCTTGTTGGCACATCGAACAGTGAGCATCGGCACATCGAATTGTGAGAGCGTCACCAGCAACGACGATGGCTCAGCATATCCACTGACACGCAACAGGCGTACAAATGCCCAAGCAAGTATACATACATCTTGCTCCGTATTGCACACACTAAAGCAATGACAAATGAGTAGTCGAATGTAATCAAGCATTGAATGGGCCGCTTCAGAGAGATTACATTCGAAGCCAGGTTCTCTAAGTTTTTGCTTGGGAGCGACAAGCTTAGTATCGCTTTATAAATCACAGTTCTTGAATTCAGCTTCCGCTTTTTGACAGGAGTTGAGCTTTTCCCCTTTGTCTCATCTCTGTTGACTGTGCATGCAAAATCGAATCGCGACAAGTTCCTTGTTCTCTATTCATTCCTTGATCCAACTAGTCTGCCTTTTTGATTTCTGACTTATTGACATTTTGCCCCAGAGATTAACCCATTGATTGGTATGCTCACCTGGGTCTCCCTCGCCTTGACTCCTATCCGCTCTTTATGATTTTCCGTCATTGCGCTCACCTTGAGCGAAACATGGTTCACCATAGTTAACGTTCATTAGCGACTTGGATATCAATGCAGCAGCCGGAATCTTAATTTGTGCAATCACTTACGAGGTTTCTTCGCTGTTTTAGCTAACGTTTCTGAGAGCGTTAACCACCTACTCTACAAACTGAATAAGTGAATCTTATGAAGAGAAGCGCACGACACAATGAAGTGCTAGAAAAAACAATGGAACTCCACGCCTGGCGAGGTCTACAATAAGATTGAAGTAGTCCCAACACAAAGGTAAACAGCACTTGCATTATTCGTACCACCGTCGTCACAAATATACCTTCACTGCAGAAAATTCAAATTCTAGATAACCTAAAGTTTCAGGTTTTAGCGAGCTCGGTTGGATCCGCAACGCGCTAACCGAAGCAGATGCGTTTGCAGCAGCTGACTGCGTGTTCGTGTGCCGAGAATCCAGCGTGAATAATTCTCGGTAAGGTTGTGTGAAAGCATAACTTTTGCTTTACAGATAATGTCGCTTTACTACTAAACTCCGTAGTGCTTCCACATATGTCTCCGGCTACATGTGATCTCACCTTTTTCGCGCACGAAGTGTAACTCGAAGTGACGTAAGTGCGACGCTAATGACCTCAAGGTGTGCAGAAAAATGAACCAGCTCACCGTTCACAACAATTAGAAATGAGCCGTCATAATTTGTCATCCTTTATTACCGTGTTTGTAAGTTGTTAAGATTACTTTGAGATAATGCCAATAAGAGAATGGAATCTCAATGCTATTGGTGGTTAGTCTGCAGTTTTCATTATAACCAAAAGCAGGCCTCGTTTTTGCTCTTTCTTTTCGGGTCGTGCTCTATTTTCAGTATTCTAACACTTTGAATGCATTCCTGCCATCGTTTTTTTCCATGTCAACTAGTTTAAACTATTGTCGACGGCACTTTGCGTTGCGAGAAAAGGGAATCTGCTACGATTTTTTGGGACTACACACGATGACAGACAAGATATACAGTGAATTTCAATAAGCGGCACAAATGTCATTTTGAGATTTTGAAATTGCTCATTTATAAAATCAAGTCACAAAAAGTTGCTCGAGTGATTTCCGATTACTCTCACTCTCACTCCCATGACGAGACATGGCCTCTAAACCATGAGGGCTGGCAAAGTTAGCGAGCCAAGTTACGACCAAAAACGGTAAAACTCGAGAGGAAGTAGGAAGCACGGCTATACGGTTTTTCTAAATGGCTCGATTTTAACGTGTTCGCAAGATTTCGTTGGAAAGAATGTTACAACTACTCCACCACTGACTCTTAATGATCTCTCCATTTAGGTCTTGCACGACGCGCATCGTGGGGTCAATCATAACAGTCATTGCTGCACAACACCGCATCATATAAAGTTGCCATTTATGAATTCGTGGGTAGTTATATTCAAAAGGGTAAATACTTAAGAAACTTGTTTTGACTTGATGTTTTGATGTTATGTGTGAGTGCGGATAAGCTATGGCATATAAGCCATTAAGAAGGAGAGGGCAAGCGGGGTCTCGGTAGTGTAAAGGATAAGAGCACGGTCCCCGGAGAGGACAAGTACGGGTTCGAGTCCCGTCCGAGACTGAAGTTTTATTCATAAATCGCCATCCTTGTGAGACTTAAGAAAGGGGTACACTAGAACAGAGTTTCTGAAGTGGTAAAATACTGAACTAATCAGCTTCTAAATCCCAAAATTATCGAAGTGCCGAATAACTACTCCTACGCAAAACACTGGTGAATTGTAATCTTTCATATGTACCTGATACCGAATTTTCATTCACTACGGGTAATAAATTGAAGATGAAAGGGGGCACCTTTTACAAATAAAAATTTCTACTTTTCTCTCTTTCTCCCTGGATTACCCTCACAATCGATTCTTATCATTAAGCGGAATTTTCTCATGAGCTTGTTTTTTGTTCCTGCGCTGAACACATTTGATTGATGAAAGATACAAGCCGGTTTCCTTTCGACCTTTTTCTCATCGATAGAAATACTGAAGTCCTCATGATAAGAAACCTTGATGGTTTGATATTTCGCAATGTATAACGAATGTTGACCATCAGCACGTCGACTGAATATCTTATTCGAGTGACTTTCCTAATCACTCTGCTCTTTTTTTTCTGTTGACTGTTATTTGTTATTGACTGGTCCTGGCTGCAAGCACACCTAGCAGACACGAGTGAAACAGGTCTTGAGTACGTTTCCTTGGCACTTGTATGCTAATAAAAATGTAAACGTCGTGAATCATTTTGCCTGATGTACAACCCAAAGCCGCCCTGCGCGACTTCACGCTGGCAGTGCAATAGAGGGGGTGTCTCACGTAGTACTCAGGGTGGCAACACCAGAACTGAAATCCTTACTATATAAACCTCAAGTTTGGTGTGTCTGTTTGTCTGTTTGTCGTCTGTTTGTTTGTTTGTCCGTCACAAAATTCGGTATCATCTGAAGAACCGCTTGGAGAGATCGGGACAAGTTCGGGATAGGTGGAGCCCGACACAAGATTAACAGAGCACATATGAGCACCGCGGAGCCACACCCACGGGGGGCGGGGCAAGTGCCGGAATGGGCGGTGCCATGAACCAAACATCTTATTTTGGTCTCGAGAAAGTCCAGACGCCGGAAAAAATGGGCAAAAGTGTGGATTGGGTCAAAAAATCAGACGGAGGAGACCCACGTGCTGTGGGCGGAGCTTTCTCAAAATGGGCAGTTTTTTTCAGATGTATTCATAACTCGATTCAATTAAGGCATAGAGGCCCCGAAAAAAGATAAAAAGAGTGAGCAGGGCCTTATGCGTGCTGGGCATGCGTAAGCTTAGCGAAGCTCCGCCCACGGTGGGCAGGGCGTGCTTTGAGACAAAAGTCACTTCCCAAAAATGAATGCAACTTTGCTTGGAAACGCTCTAGAATGCGGGAAAAAAGTGGTTGGAGGTAATGGAACAAATGTGGCCAAATCCTCGAAGTGGGCGGGGTTGCCACTAAAGTGGGCGGAGCTCAAATCAAAATTTTGTAGGTCTGTTCAGAAACGTTCTTGGATGCGGCAAAAAGTTGTTAAGGTGTAAAAGTACAAATGTGGTCAAATCTCAGAAGTGGGCGGAGTTGATACTAAAGTGGGTGGGACCTAGACAAAAATTTATGGCTCTATTCAGAAACTTTCTGGGATGCGGCAAAAAGGTATTAAGGTGTAAAAGAATAAATGTGGTCAAATCTAAGAAGTGGGCGGGGCTTAAATCAAAAATTTATAACTCTATTTAGAAACGTTTTGGGATGCGGGAAAAAGGTGGTAAGATGTAGCAGCACAATGTGGTCAGGTTCCACAAGTAGGCGGTATTGGCGCTGAAGTGGGCTTACATCAAAGTTATTAAGTCTCTTCAGATGCGTTTTAGAACACGGAAAAAGTGTCTGGAGGTAATAAAAGTAATGTGGTTCGAAGTCTGAAGTTAATGGGGTTTGCAAAGAGCGGGCGGGGCTGAGATCGAAAATTTATACGTTTGTCCTTCACACTAACCTGACTACACAGGTGTACAACTAGGGGATACCACTAAACACTTTCAAAAATTAGGCTAAAAATTTTCTAAAAAGTAGCAACCATGGTTCCACACACAGTAGTCCCTTCTACACAAGAGCAAATGCACTACATTAACTTCAGACCTCATAAAATAAATTCTACAGTAACCCCGGCCACAGAGGCGCACGCCTTGTGAGACGTGTGAATCCCTACTACTACCCAAAGGGGCTGTCCTTAAAAAGTTAGTGTTCATGGCCACACACAGCCCAAACTACACAGAGTTTCTTCTACTACATGGACTGCAGAGGTATTCGATTTGGATACATCGGAGTACTCTTCATGGCCACACACAGCCCCATCTCACATCTCAAAAAAAAAAATGATGGCCGCTACAGGAGTGTCAGGGAAGAGGCTCAGATGATAAAAGTCTATAATGAAAATCAGAAGTTCATGTGGCTTCGTCCCTTATGGCTAGAGCCCCTAGCGCACGCAATAGCGTGCGTAGCAGCCTGGCGACATTATATAAAGGGAAAGCGAAGACAACTGTGTGACTTAAACGTATGCAGAAACTTGTTGAAATGTGATATTCATATCATAACGTAACAAGAAAACAGAAACGAACCTTTTTCGAGCATTTGAATACATTGCACTTGAAAGTGTTGCTGGCACCATCGCGTGCTATATAAGAGAAGATTTGAAGATCCTGGGAATCATGCGACACGTAAAATATCCTAAAATCACAGCTAACTCTACAGACAAATAAGCTGAAAGGCATGGATTTCATTCCAGTTATGGGAGAGAGCCGAGCATAACAACACATTTGGAACCATCATCTGACAGGGCCACGCTTATGAATGTAACTTTACATCGTTAGAAATTCCATCGCACTGACGTCGAACCACAAAATAACGAACCTGTTAAACGTCATTTGTAAGGAGATAGGAGGACGGGGACCATTCCACAGTGCCAGGAACAGTTATAAACCGCTATGATCAATGGAATGCGCCCATGCACTCGCTGCGCTAAACGCCTTCAAAAATGCGAAACGGATTCTCATACTTGCTATACTTTTGGCCAAGAAGTGTAGATGTATGAAGTCACTTTTGCGTATTGAACTTCATAGTTTCCTACATCATAGAAAGAAATAAGGATAGTCCACTTCAATGGTGGATGCCTGTGCCTGCCTGCCTCAATGCATGAAATAGAATGTTCTCCAGTGACTTCAGACACGTCATTAATTCGCTAGAGGAAATTAGTCACACAATGGATATTTTGTAGATCGTCTCGAGTTGCGTGTAGACCTCTGAATGTCAATTAGGTCGAACATTAGGCCGTTGGTTTGATAAATGGTTCCACCCAAAAACATCGTAAAGAAATATGTCGAGGTTAATACAAGAGGAGAGTTTCGAATTATTCGATGGCATGATGACCGAACCTCAAAGAGGAACAGCATATATTGTACTATTCTTTGATTAAATGCATTTCGCAGAAACGAGCCTACCAGCGTCCTTTGTTCAATGAGGCTCAAAAGTGGACTGAGGGTGGCGAGAGAGATTTTCTATTCTACCTGATCTGCGGCAAAGTTAATTCTATGCGCAAATTGGGGGACCGACGTAGTTTTAGATGGCTTACAGTTTTTGGCGACACCCAGTACTAATGCGCTGGACCTCCTGAGCTTAGGTGCGCCTCTTTCACCTGAGCAGAGCGTAGATGTACTCAGGTTTCATAAAGCTGTTGGAGGTCTTCAAAGGTGTACAAATCTACTGTGTACCAAGAGCAGACAAGATCATGAGCTGCTGACAGCTCTTCATTCTTATCGCGACTCAAAGGCACATTCAAGATTGTCACAGCTCGAAATAATTCTTGTTTAATGGATAGAGAAATAATTGGCAGTTGTAATGCAGAACAGTGTAAAAAATTTTGAATAAAGCTCGAAAACTGCTGATGTCAAGAAATATATGGCTTTGAAGAACTAGTAAGAAGAGATTGTACAAGAATATGTCTTTCAAGGTGGGCTGTCTTTCACATAAACGTACTCCTCATCGGCTTCCTCACGATTCATCGTAGGGAGGAATTTCAAAGCACCTTTTTCATCGTAATTTGTGCCTTCAGCAGCCCCGTTATCATTTTCGCATAATTGCTCCGAAAATCCCTACCACTAAGTGGGAATTTTGGCAATTTGACGAACTGTACTAACAACAGTAGGGATTGAGAAAATCAAGCGACTCAAGATCGAAGGCCCATAACGGTTAGTGATGAGGTTTGTGAATTCGTCGTTATGTACCTATCACTTCATCGAGCCACAACCGAGCTAAATCTCAGTGGGTGCTCTGTTTACTGCCGTGTTACTGAGAGCGGGTTCCCATCACATTGAAGTCGCCTCCATCATACGAAAATGCCGCTAGTTCTGCTAGTATTAATGGAAAATTCTTCGATTCACTCAAAATGACTAGTATAAACTGTTGGTATCCTTAGTCTCATAAAGCCCCACAGACTTTTCTTCACCGAAACGCTATTAACACTACCGAACACGTATGAAATCCGTCCCATTCTTGTTGTGTGGTAGACCAATTGATAGAATCTCCCAGTTTTTCAATATTGCGAACCAGCTGTTGACCACAATCTCGTCCCACCTGCCCAGAAGTGGGCCTTTTCTCGAATTATTACGTACCTCTGATTCGACAAGAAGAAGTGTAATTGAATCACTTGACGTCATTTGGCTCTATAGTAATGTCCTGTGCAGACCGTACCGGCATCACTTGAAGTGCTCGGTAGACATGCAAACAACACTGATACCTTCGAACCTACTGAAGGGCGTATAAAGACATTAACAACTGAATGTTTGTGCTGTATCATGTTCAAATGGGTTGAGAACTTCTTCAGATTAGGAGTCTTGCTATGGATCAACAGCTAAAAGTACCTCACGCTAGAAGTGTTGCACAACGGTTGGCTCCTTTACCTCAACACACAAGTCAAAGTCCCCAGTGGCGTTGTCAAAGTGCAATGTTACTGTGAAATTAGATCGAAAATATATGAATTACGCTACATTTGCTCATCCTTAAGTTGTTAAACGTGCACTCTTTGACAACATTCAAGAAATGCAACAAGAATCTGCAGTAAGAAGTTGGACTTTATGATTCACTACGTTTAGTTTGCAAGATAGCTGCTGCGAGTGGCTGTATGAGGTCACAACGGCGTGGAAAACAGCACAGTAGTATTAGGACTTTCGCGTCTTGCGAAATTACGATAAACCTCCCTTTCGAGTTCGATAAAGCTGCAATGTACAGAGCATTTTTATTACTGACCTGTAAGATGCTGTCAATTGGTAAACTCCCCAACAATAACACTGAGCAACAGTTACATCGAAACCGGTTGCGCGATAAAGAGATAGGCAAGCAATTGTGAGCGACATGTCGTTACGGGAAAACAGGCGATTGCGCATTGGTACGCGCGATCTAGACATTAGAACGTCAGACGTGCCAATCAAAGCATCTCGGTGGTAAGGAAGACAACTAGATGTGCGGATTAAAGAACATCTGGGAGTATGAGGCACGCAACCTTATGACAGCGCTCGGTCAACATGAAATTGAATAACATAACGGCGACAATCCCGAGGTGATATGCATAGAATTTAAAAGAGACGGAATTTCTGCAAGGGAAACGTCAGATGCGTTCTGATTCTGCATAGGAATTCCAAATTAGACAATAGGGATGAGTGTCGGTCCTTAGAAAGATGATCTCTTGGCATACCTGAAAACTATGATTCATGATCAGAACCACCACAACGTAGTTTCCCTCACCATAAGTATAAGTATAAAGCAAGCCTTATTTGCTATTGACAGTAATCTACGGCGACTGCGGGTTTTGTTGGCTCAAAAGACGAAGCCTTTGTGAGCGGATGGTTCTCCAACGAATTTCAGACACGTCACTGGTCTTTTAGAAGGAATTAAACGCTTCATGGGCTTAGTGTAAATAATCTCGAGTTGCGTCTAGGCCTCTGAAGACGACGATTACGTCGGAACGTCAGGCCGTAGCATTAGTGAATAGTTTTACCTAAAAACCTTGCACACTACTAGAATATTACCGACGCAATCAATTATGCCGAGATTCAAACAGGACAGACTATCCTACTATATATAACGCGCTAAGTGTGTCTGTTGCTTTGTGTGCTATATATTAGGAGTGTGCATTAACCTCTGCCGCCGACTTCAAAGGGTCGTTGCCCTAACCATGTTAGAAGTTCACCTGTGAATCCTGTCATATTCTGTAAGATAGGGCATTAGCTACCTACTTAAGGACAGATAGATCAGTTTTTCCCCGAAATCCCCTGGCTCTCAGACTGATGGGTCATGGAACGTGATAAACCGTTTTCCCGAGGGCCCTTCTCCTGCTGTTTGATTTCAAGGAAACTGGCACTGAAGCCTACCCGATGCTTTTTGATACTTATGGAGGACAAGCTCCATCTGAACGAACCTGCTGAGATGGTTTTTCTTCACTTAAGAGTTTGCGACGAAAGCGGAACGTCTATTGCCAAAAAGTAATGCTGTGTGTGCATTTGGTGGTGGGATCAAAAGGGTGTTGTGTACTATGAGTTGCTGAGCCCGAAGGAAACTGTTACTGCTAACCGCTACAAACACCAACTTTAAAGTTTGTAGGATGCTCTCATCTAAAAGCGGCCGTTACTCGCAAGAAAATATCATGAGGTGCTGCTCCACCACGAACACGCCAGATCCCATATGTAAAGATGTCCTTTAAAAAATTGCAGTTGCTGAATGGGACTAGCTTGTTCAGCCCGCGTACGCTACGGATCTTGCTCCTTCTTATGACCGCCTATTTCGGTCCATGCAAGTCAGTTTAGCAGATACACGCTTCCGGAATGCCGAAGAAGTGCGAAAATAGGTGGATTACTGGATTGCCTTAAAAGACTTATATAGACGCGGAGTTAACAAGATACCAGAAAAATGGCAGGAAGTTGTAGCTCACGATGGGCAATCCATTGGTTAATTTACATTTTAGTTTCAATTTTGGAATAAATATGTTTCTGCACGCAAAAAGCGGCGGAAATCAATGCACACACCCAATACGTGTAAAGCGCTAAGTGTGTTTGTGTGTGTTTGTGTGTGTGTGTGTTTGTGTGTGTTTGTGT